TAGAACTGAACTAGAACTGAACTAGAACTGAACTAGAACTGAACTAGAACTGAACTAGAACTGAACTAGAACTGAACTAGAACTGAACTAGAACTGAACTAGAACTGAACTAGAACTGAACTAGAACTGAACTAGAACTGAACTAGAACTGAACTAGAACTGAACTAGAACTGAACTAGAACTGAACTAGAACTGAACTAGAACTGAACTAGAACACTAGAACTGAACTAGAACTGAACTAGAACTGAACTAGAACTGAACTAGAACTGAACTAGAACTGAACTAGAACTGAACTAGAACTGAACTAGAACTGAACTAGAACTGAACTAGAACTGAACTAGAACTGAACTAGAACTGAACTAGAACTGAACTAGAACTGAACTAGAACTGAACTAGAACTGAACTAGAACTGAACTAGAACTGAACTAGAACTGAACTAGAACTGAACTAGAACTGAACTAGAACTGAACTAGAACTGAACTAGAACTGAACTAGAACTGAACTAGAACTGAACTAGAACTGAACTAGAGAACTGAACTAGAACTGAACTAGACTGGAACTAGAACTGAAACTAGAACTGAACTAGCACTGAACTAGAAACTGCACTAGAACTGAACTAGAACTGAACTAGAACTGAACTAGACTGAACCTAGACCACTGAACTAGACTGAACTGAACTGACTACACTGACTAGCACTGAACTAGCACTGAACTAGAAACTGACTAGACTGACTAGAACTACAGAATGACTAGAACTGATTAGAACTCAACTACTGAACTAGAACTGAACTACAAACCGAACTAGAACTGAAACTAGGAACTAGAATAAGGTTATCTTACGGGATGTCTTGTTTTCCCCTAAAAACTTAAAATTATATTCAATTTACAAAATTGTTTCATTTTAAATTTTTCCTTTCTATAGATGGCCACCGTTAAGGAAAATCTCATGAACCAAGTTGCCGAAGTCCTTGCCTCCGGTGGCAACAAGGTAACCATTGTTGGTATCGGTCAAGTCGGTATGGCTTGCGCTTTCAGTATTTTGGCCCAAAATATCTCCAGTGAAATTTGCCTCATGGACGTCTGCAAAGATCAAGTTGATGGGTGAAATGATGGATTTTGCAACACGGTTCCAACTTCTTGAAGAATCCCAAAATTACTGCCAGTACCGATTATGCTGATTCGGCCAACTCCAGATTGTGCATTGTCACCGCTGGCGTTAGACAAAAGGAGGGCGAATCTCGTTTGTCGTTGGTACAACGTAACACTGACATCTTGAAGCACATCATTCCTAAATTGGTTGAAAACAGTCCCGATACCATTTTGTTGATGGTCTCCAATCCTGTTGATATCATGACCTATGTTGCCTGGAAATTGTCTGGTTTGCCCAAGAACCGTGTTATTGGCAGTGGTACCAATTTGGATTCTTCTCGTTTCCGTTTCTTGATGTCTCAACGTTTGGGTGTTGCCCCCACCTCTTGCCACGGCTGGATTATTGGTGAACACGGTGACAGTTCTGTACCAGTATGGTCTGGTGTTAACATTGCTGGTGTTCGTTTGCGTGAATTGAACCCCAACATTGGCTCCAGCGAAGATCCTGAGAAATGGAATGAGGTACACAAGCAAGTTGTAGACTCGGCCTATGAAGTCATTAAGCTAAAGGGTTACACTTCCTGGGCTATTGGTCTCAGTACTGCTGCTTTGACCTCGGCTATCTTGAGAAATACTAGCGCCATTGTTGCTGTATCCACCTCAGTTATGGTGAGTTAGTCGAAATGTTGCCTTTAAACTCCATTTATTAATGTTATATTTTTCTTCATTTCTAGGGTGAACATGGCATCGACAAGGATGTCTTCCTTTCTCTACCCTGTGCTTTGAATGCCAACGGTGTTACCCATGTTGTCAAGCAATTTTGACCCAAACTGAAATTGATCAATTGCAAAAATCCGCCAATATTATGGCTGAAGTACAAGCTGGTCTTAAATTCTAAGTTAATCACAAAACCCTCCTAGTAAATTAGAAAAAAACCGTAACACAAAATACAACTCAAAGATTAAGTTTTATGTGTGTATGTAAATGTTCTTTATGGAATATAAAAATATTTTTAAGTTTTAAATTTTTATTATTATTTATAATTTTAATTTTTTTTTTAAGTTTTTATCTGTATTATTTTTTTTTCTTTTAACTGTTTTTGCAGTTTTAAGAAATTTTTAAATTAAAAAAAAAAAATATATAAAAATAAATTTTATGATTTTCTTTAAAACACATTTAATTTGGTTTTCATTATTTCATTATTTTACGAAAGAAAAAATTTTTTGAAAAAAGTTTTTTTATTAGAAAATTGTCGTGTTTAGTAAATGGTACTGTACTATAACTCAACCGTTACTACCTCATTAGCAAATTGTTTTGAAACAATTGCCGTTAATTCGAATATTAACTAGTATTAATTTCGGACTCGGTTTAATTGGTTTCATTAGCTAAATTTTCTTTATAAAAATAGCATTTTAATATATAAATCGATTACAACAATTTAATTGCATGTAATGTTAAAGTATTGTATTTAAAAATATAAATTAATTTTCAAGACTATGCACTAAAAAAAATAATATAAAAAAATTAAATAAAAATTAGCACTTATGTAAAAATCATAAATACAATGAAATTATTCTTCAAGTTATAGCAATGTTACGATTTTAGATGGTATATCTTACAAATACATCTCACATCTTAGACATCTTGATAGACCTTGAACCTTTCCAGTAATGTTTAGAAAGCTTCTATCGAAAAGCTTTCGAATGTCCGGATATTCTTAAGAAATTCTTTCGAATTCTTGAGTTCCGCATCTAAAGAAACTTTCGATAAACTAAAGTTTTCATTAAAAAATCTTACGGATGTCTAGAGTTTCGATGATAGATCTTACAGATGTCTTAAGTTTTCATAGAAAATTTATCGAATAACCATTTAAAGTTTCTTTAGACAACCGAGTGTCTGAAGTTTATATAGAAAATCTATTGGATGTCTATAGATCCTAAGCAATTCTTTTGTGTATCTGGAGTTTCCATCGAAACTCTCTCAGATGTCTGGAGTTTTTAATCACAATTTTGTTCTCTAAACTGTAACCAACTTTCACATTTCACCGCCGGGATACTTACTTCCTCAACCAATGCTTACAGAACTATAACAACCCGGCTGTAAACATCTCTTGGGAAAGTAGCCAATACCATTGGGATATATATCTATGGAACCCATGGGACTGCGTACACCAAAAACATTACCTTCACCATGTATTACCACCACCCGGGAAGAAATATTGCGACGAACATATAAATCACTGGAGCCACAGATATACGAGCAAGGATCTATAGCTATAAGTTGGCCTATAATAGTGTTTTTAAAGAAATCGAGTTCCCTTCAATTTACATTGAATTTCAGACATCCGAATGTATGAAATTTTCATATAAAATCTTGTAGATGTCATAAAATCTTACGGATAGCTTGAGTTTTCATAGTTTCTGCTCAAAATCTTTCAGATATTAGGAAGTACTATAAAAAATCAATCTATATTTAGAGAATCTTTCGAATAACTGAAGCTTTAGTTAAAAATCTAAAGAATGTCTGGGCTTTCAATGGATAATTTTGGAAATGTCTTGAGTTTTCATGGAAAATCTATAGAATGAGTTTCATTGAAAATTTTTTGGATGTTTGGAGATAATATAGAAAATCTGGCGGATGTCTAAAGTGTCTATAGAAAATCCTTCGGATGACTGTATTTTAAACGAATTCGAGTTTCCTTCGAATATCATAGAGAATGTCTGAAATTTCCATAGAAAATCTTGTGCATGTCAATGTCAATCCTTCGGATATCTAGAACATCATAGTTTCTGATGAAAATTTTTTAGATATCAGGAGCTACTATATAAACTCTTTAAAAATCTTAAGAATGTCTGGGGTTTCGATGCAATATCTTGGGGTTGTCTTGAGTTTTTATAGAAAATCTATGGAATGAATGTCGAGAGTTTCTTATGATCATATGGATGTGAGTAGATTCTATAGAAACTCGATCAGATGTCTAAAGTTTACTAAAGAAAATATTGGGATGTCTTTCATAGAAAATTTCGTGGATGTCTTGAGTCTCGGATGCCTTAAGTTTTAGTCAGTTTCTATTGAAAATCAATCCTTACCTAGAACATCTTTCGGATATTCAAATAAATCCTTAAAAATCTTCTTTTAAACAAAATATATGGAAAAATCTCGCGAATTACTGGAACTTTTATTAAAAACCTTAAGAATACCTTCGGATTCTATGAAAATTCCTGGGGATATCTTGAGATTTCATAGAAAATTTATTGAAAGGTTGTCTAGAGTTTCTTTTGATCTTATGGATGTCAAGAAGTCCTATAGAAACTCGATCAGATTTCTATAGTTTCTATAGAAAGTTTTTTTGAATGTCTTCCTTCAAAAATCTTTTCGATATCTACAGTTTCCAAGAAAATCCTAAGGATCAACCGAATCTTGCGGGTATCTAGAGTTTTCATAGAAAATCATTAGGATATTTAGAGTTGCTGTAAAAAATCTCTAGAATACCTATAGTTTCTATAGTCACTAGAATCTATAGAAAATCTTATGAAGGTTTATAATTTCCATAGAACGTCTTTAAAATCAAAAGACTTTTTCTGTAGAACTTCTTTCGGATACTAAGAGTTTTTATGGATTATCTTCCGGATCTTAAGACATTTACTAATGCTTCGAGTGTTCTTTCCACATATTATTCCCCAAATGTTAAGATATGTAATGAATGATCTTCGAGATTCAGCTTATATACAGAACCTCTTTTAAAATTTTAAATTAAGAAATTTCAAATATTAAGGATCACATAGATCTATCCAAATTTAATATATCATAGAGATCATATTAGCATAGAACTGCAACATCTAGAACCCACAAAAGAAGTCTAGACATATTCACCAGAGACAAAATTTTCTGAAAACTAAAAGTTTTTATATAAAATATTGATGTTTGGTGGATAACATATGATGTAACTGATTAGTGTTATTTTAGGGAATACTTTCTGTAGAACATTTTCCAGACATTCAGTAAAAAATCCTCCTCTTAGATATTATTTTGTGGATTTAAAGTCTTTCTAAACTTTGCATAGAAAATCTTACGGATTTAAAGAATTGCGGATGTTAAGATTATCCTCAGATATTAAAAATATGGATGCAGGTAAAGAGATCCCATAGATCACTCTGAATTTCCATCAAAGGATCTGAAACTGAAATATCGACTATATTTATCAGCTTAGCATCAAAATAAAATAAATTTTAAACGTCATAAATAAATTTTATTATAAATATTATACTAAAGATTTTTTTCTATAAAACAAAAATTCCTTTTGGATCTCATTCCTAAACACTTATCAAAGGTTTATAAAACTTTTTTTCTTCCATAGTTTATAAACTTCGATAATTTTTTAGTTTCTTTTATAAAAAAGGCAATAAGTTCCGTTTTCTCAACATTTGATCATTATTCTTGCTAATTGTCCAGATATTGAGCAAATGGTATTTAACTATATAAAGAAATCGCTTCACTTTCTCTTAATCCTGCTAATATACTTCAACCCCTGCTCCTTTAACGTAAACGGTGGAGAAGGTTGGGTTACACAAAAGTATAAACCTTTAGCCATTTCCGGATATGTTATACCAAATTCCACTGTATTAGTATAATCACAATTTTGTTCTCTAAACTGTAACCAACTTTCACATTTCACCGCCGGGATACTCACTTCCTCAACCAATGCCTCCATAAATAATAGGAAAGGATACATGTGACTGCATACAGAACTATTACAACCCGGCTGTAAACGTCTCTTGGGAAAGTAGCCAATACCATTGGGATAAATATCTATGGAACCCATAGGACTGCGTACACCAAAAACATTACCTTCACCATGAATTACCACCACCCGGGAGGAAATATTGCGACGAACATATAAATCACTGGAGCCACAGATATACGAACAAGGATCTATAGCTATAAGTTGGCCTATAATGGAAATCTGCTTGTAGTTATTGAAATATTCCTCGGAATAAGTGGAGATGCCCAAAGCAGCCACATTGGCGCCCACTGAATGTCCCGCCACAGTTATATCTTTAGGATCAATACCATTCTCAGTTAAAACTTCTAGGATTTTAGAAACAAAATAACCCTGCAAGGTAAGATGATGTCGGAGGGCATAGTACAACTGTTGAATATCCTTGGCAAAGTTTACAATAATAACATTGAGTTCCCGCCTTCTGGACTGCAGCATATGTAGATGAGATTGTATGCTAAAGTAACTGTCGGCGGTATAGAAACCATTAATATAAAGCAAAGTCTTGCGCTTGGGATTTATATCGAAATCCCTTAACTCCGATAAGGAACGTATGGGTAACTCTACACTTTGATTATTTAAGGTCAAGACATGTATGGTAGTATCACTGGGATTAATGCCATCAAACAAAGACATAACACCCTCATCCACAGGGGCCTCACCTAAAAAATTCAATGAAAAACTTTATTGTATAATTCCGATTCTTGATGATGTTCTCCAAAAACTCACAGAACGCCTTCCATCCTTGTGCAAAACTCTCCGTTAATATTTCTATATTCTCTTGTTGTATCTTTTCAATAGAAGCGCTGTTTGCACTCACAACGATCGTTATAAAATAAATTAAAATTTTACATTTTTGCCACATTTTCGGTTTTTGTCACTCTGCTGATCTTTTTTTTTTTTTTTGCTGATGATCTTGGTATGTGGCTTTGTCGTGTTGTTTTGAAGAAAACATTTGCTTTAATTATGTCTTTATACATCAAAATCATATTGATTGTTGTAGGTTGTTGATTTCGCAGAGAATTTTCTGCAATGTTTTTAAGTTTTACTAAAATTTTATCACGTTTTCGTGGTAAAAATCTGATAAATTGATATTTACATTCGGAAACTTTTCATTATTGTTATATAATAATGTTCCGGTTTTCATTTGGATAAGATGAACGAAAGAGTTTTGGTTTAAGATTTGTTTAATGTTTTAGTTTTGTTTTATTGTTTAATCTCTAGCAGACTGTGATAAATTTTAGCTAGAGATCAATAAGATTAGGTTTAAGTTGGTAAAAGTATTAAAATTTATATTGTAGTTTTAACATACTTTAGGTAAACACCTAAACCACTCGACCTCATATTTCACGGTGGTACTTTTTTAATCAATGAGACGACTCACTATCGCTCCTTTGTGTGGCTTGCAATGAATATGAAGGTGGTAACTTTTCTACATGGTTCCGCAGGTCTATGAACAATCACTGTGCTCAAGTATTTGAGCTAACTAATCTTTAACCATTGCTGCCCCGTCGCTTAACATCCAAGATGCAAAAACATCACTTTTGTTTAAATCTACGCATAGACAGTAGAGCCATAATCGGTTGACTTTAATACGAATCCATCAAGTAATCCAAAGACAAGTTCTTACTCACAGAGAACTGTGCTAAGAGTGGTATGAACAGAGTAAAACCTGAACATAACCAGACAAGGAAGAGAAATTTAATAGTGTCATTTATATAAGATACCGCATAGATACCGCATCACCAGGGGTAACTGTTGTCTTTTTCGGCAACAGCACCGAACTTAGGTACACATCATGAAGGGAGCCATGAAGGGACATTCCCAGTAACCGGTACAAGATAACCTTTCCCCAGCTGGTTGCCGGTATCCGTGGTTCTACGTATGATAGGTAGTCTGGATAGAACACAAATCAAATTATTCCAAGTAGGCCAGAATTTCGATCACTTCTATTAGATGGTACAATTTTGGAGTTACCAATGAAAGACAAATACTTTGTTGTCATTTCTGACTTACCTTTTCCATTAGGAAAACCAGTGAAAACCAATTCTTTCAAGGAAGCCGTAGGTATGAGTCAAAAAGTTAAACCATACATTATACAGCCAGAGATCTATTCTATAGTTCACTAGTAAGGTGAAAAGCGTTAGAAACCAAATCCTTTTTATACATTTTGAACCATGAACAAAGATTTATGTTGCTATTATAGGCACTATAATGATTGTGATTGCATTGCCCATCATACAAACGTAGTTAGACTGAATTTGAAATGACCAAAGGGTGTATAACTTAAAATCTTCCCTACTACTTCTTCCTTAATAGTTTTTAATAGGAATTTCAACATATGACCGAACGTTGTCATGGTGAAATATTACTGTTTCATATCTGGCCACCTAAAACCTTCCCTGCCACTACTTCCTTAATAGTCTTTAATAAGAATTTCAACATATGGCCGATCGTTGTCGTAATGAAATTTTTCTATTTCATATCTGGCCATTTTTGTTCAATTCTCTCTTCTAACGAATCATTTGCATTCGGTGTAGTCTCCCTGTGGTGGCCTGGCCAAATTTCAGCAGCTCATAATAGATTGGACCACTTTGGGAACCTTTAAATACACACGATTACTTTAGCGTCATAGATATTTAGTTTAATCTCAATTCGACTGATTAACAGATCTTAAAGATCTCTCTCTCTCTTTACGATAATGGTAATGGATTAATTTCTCACCCTGATGGGGGGCAAAATTTGATTCCTTTTTAGCGTTCAAACTCCATTTCGGACATAAATGTTGTTCAAGGTATTTCGACATCAATTCGCAGTAACACCTCGAATTCTGGGCCTTGCAACCTTTTTTTCTGAATCACCTCCTGAATCAAAATACCAACAAGAGAAGTCTATTATGCATACACTGTCCGACTGTTCAAAAAGTGTTTTTTTCTTTGAGCTTCATCTATTGGTTCCATCATG